CTGCGTGTGATTTTACTATTGTTATCATGGAGATCTGTTTGATATGATTTTCTTGATTGCATAAATATCATCTTTTTAATTATCTGTTAAGTAGGTGAGCTATTTCATTCTCCTAGAAAGTATTGTGCGAAAGGGTTATCGGAATGAAGGGGTGGTTAGTGAGTCGACGCTCTGTTTTGATGCAATAGGTTCCTGAAGTAGTGATTTTGTTGTGAGAAGTTCGTCAGTTCTGGATGTAGGTTTCCTAGTTGGAAAAACTGGTTAGTTGGGGTACTTATCATGTATAGGAAGTAAATCTGGGGATTATAATGCCTTCCCCTGCCATCTATTCTTTGTCTTTCATGTTAAGCTTGACATGTTTCTTATCGTTAGCTTGATGGTGCGGTATTCTGCGTCTCTGCTGGGTCTGCCTTAGTCACTTTGACCTAGAATCACATAACTTGAAAAGATGGTTGACAGTTGGCTACTATAGCCTCCAGTTGAAATAGTTGTTTTTCATGTGTATCTTCTCTTTCTGTGCTTTGTGCTTCATATAAGAAAGAAAAACATACATTCTGTTGTGCCCTCCTCCCCTTTAATATTAGAAAGGACAAGCAGATGATGTTTATTGCTACTACAGTTATTGACATCTGTGATATTTTCACAATAATGTTTTGTCTTTTCCTTTTTATTACGTTAAAGATTGTTTGATGAGTTCATATGAGTAATACCATTGTTTTTTGTTTGCTATAGTCATGGCTGGCTTGGCACCGGAAGGTTCTCAATTTGATGCTCGTCAATTTGATGCTAAAATGACCGAGCTGTAAGTTGTTTGCTCTAATTTCTAAGCAATTGAGATTTTATCTGGCAGCAGAAAACTACACTTGGGTTTTATTTCCTCCTTGGATCTATCAATTGCAGCTATCTTGTGCTTACTCATTCGGTTTTTAAATTTTTTTGATGTTTGATTTGCTGAAACAGGCTTGGGACTGAACAGCAGGAGTTCTTCACATCATATGATGAGGTTCATGACAGTTTTGATGCCATGGGTTTGCAAGAAAACCTTCTTAGGGGAATCTATGCCTATGGTAAATGCACTTCTTAATAGCTTAAGTGGTTTTCCTTTCCCTTGTTAGATTTAGCAAGGCATTGAACACCTGTCTTAAATTGCTTGAAGGTTTTGAGAAGCCATCTGCTATCCAGCAAAGGGGTATTGTTCCTTTTTGCAAGGGTCTTGATGTGATCCAACAGGCACAATCTGGTACAGGAAAGACTGCAACTTTCTGCTCTGGGATTCTCCAGCAACTTGATTACAGCTTAGTCGAATGTCAGGCTCTGGTTCTGGCTCCAACCCGTGAGCTTGCCCAACAGATTGAGAAGGTTATGCGAGCACTTGGTGACTATCTTGGTGTGAAGGTTCATGCCTGTGTAGGAGGTACCAGTGTCCGTGAGGATCAGCGTATCCTTCAAAGTGGTGTTCATGTGGTTGTTGGTACTCCTGGTCGTGTATTTGACATGTTGCGCAGGCAGTCTCTTCGCCCCGACCACATCAAGATGTTTGTTCTGGATGAAGCTGATGAAATGCTCTCAAGAGGTTTCAAGGATCAGGTTGCCATTTTTTCCTTCCATTTTTTTGGTCCCTCAAGTGGAATATTCTTATTTATTAGGTTTCTGCATTGTGATTTGGGAAGTAGGGCGCAAATATGGGGCTGCCTTTTTCTTTTTATTTGGGTAATGGGGTGATGGGTAAGTATAGTATTTGTATGCAACAGTCATATGTTAGATTTGTAAAAGATTTGTGCATATGTGATATTAACCTCTGAATGGGAGTTCTGTCTATTCTCGTCATTATTAGCCTTATTATGCTTTGATATCTTTTAGAATCGGTGCAGGACTTTGGTGGTTCTTTGACCTTATTTCTTGCTCCCAAGGCTCACAAATAGTGTCTCATTTTGAAGTTGTCTTGTTATTTTCCAGATTTATGATATTTTCCAATTGCTGCCACCAAAGATTCAAGTTGGTGTTTTCTCTGCCACAATGCCACCAGAGGCCCTTGAAATTACTAGGAAGTTCATGAACAAGCCTGTGAGGATCCTTGTGAAGCGTGATGAGCTCACTCTTGAAGGTATCAAGCAATTTTATGTGAATGTTGACAAGGAAGAGTGGAAGCTTGAAACTCTTTGCGATCTTTACGAGACCTTAGCCATCACCCAGAGTGTGATCTTTGTGAACACCAGGCGTAAGGTTGATTGGCTCACTGATAAGATGCGCAGCCGTGATCACACAGTATCTGCCACTCATGGAGACATGGACCAGAACACCAGAGATATCATTATGCGAGAGTTCCGATCTGGGTCATCTCGTGTGCTTATCACTACCGATCTTCTGGCACGTGGTATTGATGTGCAGCAAGTATCCCTTGTGATTAACTATGACCTTCCTACTCAGCCAGAAAACTACTTGCATCGTATTGGTCGTAGTGGACGATTTGGAAGGAAGGGTGTAGCTATCAATTTTGTCACAAAGGATGATGAAAGGATGCTTTTTGACATTCAGAAGTTTTACAATGTTGTAGTGGAGGAGCTACCAGCCAATGTGGCCGATCTTCTTTGAGGTGGTGGTTTTGGTTGTCTGAGCTGAATTCTTCCTTATATTAAGTAATTTAATATTTTATTCTTAGGTTAGTTAGAACCGCACTGGACTAAAAGTTGGAAACTGCAGTTTCTGTGATTCGTCGTAGTTTTCCAATTTTGTTGGTTTTGTCTTTTTGTATTGCAAGTCCACAACAACTTCAGGTTTTGGATGTCTTTGAATTTTTAAGTATATTTGATTTAAACTTTTGGCCTATTTTTTTCGTTTTGTTGTATGATGTGCTCTGTATCTGTTCGCTTTGATATACACTGAATTGATATTGCTACATAGTCAAATTATGTGTCATTGATAATTAGTGCTTCTTTGAGGCCTAATTATTATTTTTCCTTCTTAAAAATATACTAATTAGCCTAAAAAGTGTACAAACCAAGGTACTAATGAATACATGACTTTTTCTAATAAACGACCCCTAATATTCAATCTTAATCTTAATACACATTTTAATATTTAATATTTAGCATTACCCTCATATTCAAACATTTTAATAAAAGCAAATGGGAACATAGTGTTCCATGTATAAACTAGTAAGTAATTATTATTTCGAGGAATAAGTCATAAACGAAAACTATTTCTTCCCGAATTTTCCATCCAATAGAATGAAAGATTAGTACCCATTGAATTTATTGTAGGAGTGCGTAATGACTTTCTAGGAAAAGGAGACTTTTGAAAAAAATAGTGTCTCCCTCGTATTTTCTCACTACGTATTGTGAAAAAATAGTTATTCTACGATGATGGTTATTTTAGAAAATTAAGAAAAAAATTTATTTTTATTTTTATCATTAATAGAATAATATTTGTGAGAATGGAAGATTAGTATGCGTTGAATTTATTATAGGAGTGCGTAATGACTAATGACATTTAAGGAAGGGAAAGGAGACTTTTGAAAAAAATAGTGTATCTCTCGTATTTTCTCCGTACTAAGTATTTGCTAAAAATAGTTATTCTATAATAATTATTGTACGTAACTTTAGAAAATTAAGAAAAAAGTATTTCTTTCAATTTTATTCTTATTATCATTAATAGAGTAATATTTGTTGAAGAAAGAGAATAGATAAAAGAATAAATTACTTTAAAGTAATTTTTACTAGTTTTAATTTTTTATTAAAGGGCTAGAGACTCCCTTTGACGACGATAACAATAAAATATTCAGTAAAATTTTATAAGTAAGGTCTAAGGATGGTAAGATGTACGCAAATCTTATCGCTATATCAGGGAGATAGAGAGATTATTTCTGAAAGGTCCTCAACTCAAATGCAGCAATTCCATATACAACGAAGAAAACCTAGCAAGTCACAAGAAAACAATGTCAAGTCTATTGAGGGGGAGCAACAACGAAGTAGTGTAATAATCTATACACAATAAGAAACATGTTAGGATAGAGTATTAAAACAAATAAATAATGATGGATGTCAATAACAAGAACTACAGTAGTACAACTAGTACAATGACAGACACCAACCATCCTAACCAAAACAACACTACACTATTTATTAACCTTCTACCCTAATATATGTTCCCCACACTCTCTTATTTAAGGTCATATACTCAATGATCTGAATTTACGTCATATTTTGTCTTATCACCTTTCTTCAATATTTTTTTGGTCTACTTTTGCCTCTCCTCGTACCTTCTATAACCAACCTCTCGCACCTCCCCACTAGTGCATCCACACATCTCCTCTTCACATGCCCAAATTTAATCATCTTAATGTCGCTTCTCTCATCTTATCCACCATGGAGACCACTCCCAACTTATTTCGAATATCTCCATTTCTAATCTTATCACTCATAGTATGACAATACATTCACCTCAACATCTTCATCTCCGCAATATGCATTTACTGAACATGCAAGTTTTTGATTGACCAGCACTCCAACCCATATATAACAATGTTGATCCCAAAAAAAAATCATACATTTTTATATCTAGTAATAATTCAATTTTATATTATTCATTATTTTAATAAAATAATTTATAACTATAAATATCCATAATTTATTTTAAATTATAAGTCTTAAAATATTTTATTTATTTATTAAAAAACTTATCAACTGAAACTATATCAGGTAAATTAAAATCACAAACATAGAGACAAGTGGTTCAATAAAAAGAAAAAGAGTAGTACAAGTGATGGAATAGAGCAGATTTCATGGACCAAAGTCATTTTCTTGAGCCCAAAACACAAGTTGTTTAGAAACGCCAATCTCTAGAATCAAAATAAAAACAAAAAACTATTAAAAAAAAGTCTTTTCGCAGCACGTCTTATTCCTCATTCTCTCTGTCAGTTTGGCATCCCACTTTCTCCAAAATTTTCTCCTCTTCCATACCTATCTAAAAAAAATTCTTACCTAAAATTAAGAAAAACAATCATGGATGATTACAGATCAAAATCTTATGCTGATGGTAGGATGCAAATGGATAAATATCATGAACCCCAATTTTCTAATGATTTGAGGTCAGTTGGTGCACCACCTCCAGCCCATCACAACAAAGATTTGAAGCTTAAAAAAGGGAAGAGCACTAGTGGGTCATCTTCAAAATCTTGGAATTTCAATGATCCTGAGTTTCAGAGGAAGAGGAGAGTTGCTAGTTATAAAGTTTACTCTGTTGAAGGCAAAGTTAAAGGGTCTTTGAGGAGGAGTTTAAGATGGTTTAAAGATAAGTATACACAGGTTTTATATGGATGGAGGTGATTTTTCAAGATTTTTGGCTTTGTTTTGATTCATTTTCTAAATGTTATATTTTGTTCTCAACACTTATACATGTGGATTTTCTTCTTCTTCTTTTTTTCCGATCGCGATACTTTATCATCATTAGCTGGTTAATTATGTCTTTCGAAGTTGATTCTATGTTTAATTTAGGTTCCACGCAAGATTTTGAGGATTATGTTTATGAATTAATTTTACTTCTAGAGGCCAGCAAAATTGGGGATACTTTATATTTTATAGGCTGTCATGTTTCTTCTTAAATGCCCGTTCATTTTGTGGTCACTATGAAACATTTTTTCTATTTTATAAAATAAGATAAAGTTATTAAGTATGTTATTGTTATTGTTGTAATAATGCAAAATTCTTGTATACGGTGGGTGGGTACATTTGACGTGAAAAATATATATTACAAAATAAGTATTTTTTTTATGTTTAAAAGATAAGCAGAAAATATTGTTCCAAAAGTATTTATATCCAATTTAAATGAACACTATGAGAATTCAAGGTTGTGAGTTGGGATGTTTGAAGGGTGGGAAGGAACCAATTAACGTATAATACTACTACTTATTTTTCTATTTTCATTAGGAAACTCTATCTTTTATGAACCCACGGAATTATATTTAATATATTCGAAGAAAATAGTTTTAAATTTTTTGAACAAGCCTACTTGTTAATTTGTCAACTATTCTTGGCCTGGCTAATTGTTGTTGCTAGTTGTGTCGGAGATAAAAAAAATCTAGGCGAAATGACCTGGGAGACCCTTATACTTGGTTCTGTTTGTCACCTGGACCCTTCTACTCACGATTTTTTCAATTGAAAAGTTATTAAAACACAGTAGTTTAAACCCCTCTGATCATGTGGGTCTCCCAATCGCGCTGATGTGGATAACACCTCACTATCCACATCAGAAATATATTGCCACATCATTTTTTTTATTACAAATAATATTTTTTTTAAAGGAAATCTCAAACTAATCTCCAAAATCATTTCTTTCTTGATCTCTTTCCATTTTCTTCTCTTCCCATATTTTTCATCTATTTTGCTACTAATCATTCATTTTTTTTCTTTCCTAGTGAATTTTTTACGTTGAAGAAGAATTAGAGATAAGGAAAGCTTTGTTATGTTTTTCATTATAAATTTTGCTATTTTAATGGTGGTGAGAAATAAAGTGACTAAAATGGAGGATGAGAGAAAGAGGAGAATGAGATAAAAAATGGGTCATTATAGAAAACTCTTCAAAAATGCTCTCAATAAAATTGTCTTACATTTAAAAAGAATCTCAAACATATGTTTTTCAAAAACCCATCTAAAATTCGCATCTATTTCACAATTTAGAACCTCTTTTTTTCCCTTCTTTTACTCAAAACTAAATAAATATTTTTTCCCCAATCATTATAGAACTCTCAAATGATAAGTAGCATATGAGAAGAGAAAGAGGAAGAATTGTATGTACGAGTATTGGAAGAGATTGAAGAAGATGTGTGTGTGGTGATGGTAGGGGTTGGGTGAAATTATGAGGAGGAGGAAGAAGAAACGTATAACATTTCGGAATGGTTTTTTTTTTTTTAATTGTTATATTTTTCTTTTAATTTTTTTTTTAAAAAAATTAAATAATTTTCTTCACTTGCTTTTAAATGCGTGTAACCACTCTCTTGATCTGAGTCAACAAAAAAAAAACACCATATAAGCTTAGTCAACAGTCAAAGAGGTTTAAAATAGTGTGTTTTAATACCTTTAAGTGTTCAGTTGGTAAAGTCGTTAGTTGAAGGGTCTAGGTGACAAACGGAGCCAAGTACAAAGGTCTTCCAGGTCATTCCGCCAAAAATCTATACTAAAATAGTGTTTATTTTGCTATCTGTTCCCTCAAATGTCTTACTCCCTCCGTCCCATTTTATGTGAGTTAGTTTGACTCGACACAGAGTTTAAAAAAGAAACAAGACTTTTAAGACTTGTGGTTCAAAATGAATGACATAAATTTGTGTGGCCGTAAATCATTTCATTAAGGGTAAAATAAATATTTTATAGTTAAATTGTTACTTCATATATAAATGTGTCATTCTTTTTTGAACTAACTAAAAAGGAAAATAAGTCACATAAATTGGGAGAGAGGGAGTAATTTTTATCATCTTAAACACTAAATCCAAGTCGAAATAGTGGACGACTAGCTTGCCTAGAGGGAATATACTGAAAAATAATTTTGATTACCATATGCTAAATATTTATATTTTCTGTGGTTTCATTCATATGAAATTTTTTAATTGGTGATTCATGGCCTGCCACATCCAACTGTGAATATATAAAGCATTTCTACCATTTTAGAAGATCTAACAAATAATTAAGGGTTACTTCATCAAATCATAGGTTTTTATGATCAATCATAGAGTTTTTATCTCATTAACCTCTGTTGAACAGTTTGCATGCTCAAGAACCTATTTTTATGAGGTTTTTAGGTTCCCTAATACCAAAACTATAGCATAGATTAATAATTCTATGCTAGAAGACCGAGTTTAATATAGAAGAATGAAAAACGTGCATAACCACAATAATTTAACGTTGTGCCCTAGCACTATAATTCTAAGTTTCTGCCCATAATGTTCTATGAAGAACTCACCCTTTAATTCTATTAAAAAAAGTAAATTTGGAAATAAAAATAGACTTAGCTCAAGAAGAAAATAACCATAAGCCTTGGAAAGGTCGCCCTAGGTGTTCTCTGGTCAAGTATGAAAATTTATAATCAAGACTTGAGCAAACAATTAACTTAAACACGAAATAATAAAATTGGACCTTAGTTATAGCAAAAAGTACTATAGCAGACCACCCCTTTGTTATAGCGAAGCCGTAGCCTTACAGCTTTGCTATAGCGAGCCTCCCTTCACTATATATAGCGAAGAAGTCTTTCACTATAGTAAGGCCTGGCAAAAAAAATTCCACTTGTTTATTTTTTTGTTTTATGCCAATTCTCCACTCATGGTCACCTATGCAAGGATATTATAATCGTAATTCGTAAATAACTACAAAAATGGTCAGAGATTGTTAAAATTATTTTTATCATGTTATAAATCCATTGAATTGTGGATTGTCCATTTGATTTGTTCAAGAATTAATTGAATTCATGTATGCATACTCTAGGATACAATAACTCAATCACAATGTATGACTCAACAAATTTGGAACAAGAGTTAAATTCAAAGCTCCATAAAAATAACACCACCTTTCAATTAAATAAAACTCTCTTTTTTACTAACTTTTATGCTCTCTGCATTTACTTATATACAAAATAATGTAAGACCATCACTATTTATAAGTGAGAAAACCAAAAATATCAAAAATATGATAATATTATGGATAAGTGAACAGAAGCATTATGCCTTAAAAATTACATAGGTTACAAAACAAAATTTAATAGAATAATGGACAAATAAATTGTTAGTTGTTACATTAATTTAATGAAAAGAGAAATCACTTTTTGGAAATTAATCAAAGGCCACTAAAGTCAAAAGAGAATTGTAGGAAATGAAACAAATGATGCATGTTGAGACCCACTATTGACCCAATTTGTAGCAAATGAAACATTAAAATGCTAAATAACCATCACAAGAAGTCTTTTTTTACGTACTTTCATTTGACAAATACTTCTCTTCAAATCAATTCATTTGACAGATAATAAGGTTTTGGTAACTTGATCTATTTAGGAATCACTTCTTGCCTTTTATAGTATGCACACATCTTTTATTAAGCCAAAAAGCAACAAGTAAATAAAAGTCACAATAATTCATAATTCAAAAGATATATAAAAGAATTATATGGTCAAATAAAAACTTATTTATTTCAAAATTCGAAATGTGCTACATAAATTGAGACAGAGAGTGCATTAATTAAGATGAAAAAAAACAAAGTCTTTGCATTGCTAATTATTACTTTAGTTTTTGGAATTGCTTCTGGCATATATATATATATAGTTGTCATATCTAGTTGTTGTCATTGTTCAACTGTTGATTTCACCTCTGTTAAAAGTTTTCATGACCCCATTTGAATTGCTTCCAGCAAAAAGCATACCCAGAAATGGGGATTTCAATTCTTTTAATAGTTATTGGTGTGTTGCTAGGGACATTTATTGACAAACAAAAATGGGGATTTCAATTCTTTTTCTTGTAACAATGACAATTAGGGGTATTTATCGATCAATTTAATTTTGTGTATTATTAGTTCAGTTTATTGGTTTTTAAATTTGAACATACTAATCGATAATCAAAGTAATAAAATTTATTGATATCCAGTTTATTATTTTTGGTTTTTAACGGTTTATTTTTTTATTTAACTGATAAGAAATGCTCCTCTAATTTTTTTTTATCTTCTCTTATTTTTATATGTTCATACCTACATTGTTTTCATGCATAAAAATTATGGACGAATATGTTAATAATAAAACAAAATTGTTTTATTTCTAGTTAAGTCACAAACATCAATCTCTCAAAAAGGAAAACAAAGACAATCAATAGTTCACACTAATAGGTAGCACCAACCAAACCAACGACTTCAGAAAGAAAACACTAGAATCAAGTCAATAATTATAAAATGCAAAAGAAAATAGGGTTTGTTTTAAAATCTAAAGTCACTAATTATAAAGGGAAATTTTAACATAATCTTATTGGATTATCTATTTAATAATTAACTATAACCTTAAAATCGAAAATCAATTAATAGCCCAAATATAAAAATTACAAAATCATTTAGAAACTGTTAATTTAATAACTCTATAGGAAAAATTACAAGGATATTGTGTTTAAGACTTTAATTTACGATATAAAATTGTTTTTTTAATTTATAAAACTAAGTTTTTATTTACAAATATGACAATTTAAATTAGTACACGTTTTTTTTTGGTTAGTGTGCTTAATTTTTGGGAGTCATAATAATTATTTTTTTAAATCTCTCTCCTTTATTCATCTCAATCACAAAAACATTTTCTTTCTTAATGTGATATG